TCGTTGTAGATCAATGTCTAGTAACCATATGCTTCACCAAAATATGGTGCATGTCAGCTGTTACAGCTGCGTCCACACTAGCTAGCCCACTCTCATGCACCTCAGAATAGTGCCTGTTTAAATGGCCTCGATGAGGCTACGATTGCTTGCAGTGATGACATTTAAATGGTCTTTTTGCAAAATAAATTAAAAAAGGCGGTAAAAGGAAAAAGCCATTAGAGAGTAGACGAAAACGATCCGATCTGACATTGGCTTATCCATACACTACGATGTGCTGCTTTTCCCATTTAAGTAGTATTGACCACACCTTAATAATCAATCTGACTACGACTGCGGTCAATCGTCCAACAGCATCTCCGTTTCCATCTGATTCAGTCAGTACTCATTGTTGTAGTAGTCCTTTTTCCTAGACACACCCAACTGAAGTAGTGGCACAATTTTCCGGAAGAATTTGTACCGCACGCACAGCGCAGCATTGACACTTCCGCTTTCGTCCCACGCATCCATGACTTTTCCACCAATTCAGTTAACTACAACTCCTCACTTTCAAATTAATTCCTCTTCTGTCCCACCCAACAGCCAACTGCTTTCAAACTGCCTACTTCAAAATCGCCTCACTTTCAAAGGCAAAGAGGCAAATATTTTGCCTGAATGCACGAGATATAAGTTAATTAGCAGGTGTGGAAGGCGAAGTAGTGAGGTACACGGGGCTACACACACACTCCAATGCAGGAATAGCATGTTCCATGTGAATGGCTAAAATGTACGACTGGTCCCCTTAACTTCCACTCGAAGTGACCGATTGTGAGATCTACTAATTCCCGCGTTACATCCACGGCCTCAGGCCAAGCAGCGTTCTTCTTTCACACATCTAATATCTCCCATGTCCTGCCCTCTTTCCTCCACTCCCTTTTGCCCTTCATCCAGAAGAGTACAAAGAGGAAGACATCCTGCATCCTGAAGGTGGGATGATTGAGCCTCCAGGTAATGCGCCGAAATCCATTCCTAACCACCATTGACCACGAAATTGTAAATACACCCTTGGCCACGTATGCATTTGCCCTTATGGTATGCGTTTACATTATGACGATGGTACGTAGCATTTGTCTGTTCTAGTTTCGGTGTCCCCTCCTCACACTCAAGCCATCAGTGCTGGCGAAGTCAGCTTCTACACGACCCCACCCAGATGCAAACCAAGAACAACATTTGGAGCAAAAAGGATAGCACTACTAAATCGTATTCTTAGGGATGAAATAGCAGTGCCTGTTGTCGGGGAAAGTAACAAACAAGTTGGGAAAATCTCCCCTTTCTTCTTTACACTTGGAACAGTTTTGACTCTGGCGAAAAGAAAAGGAGACACGAGGAGACGACAATAATGGAGGGAGATGAAATGGGGTAAAAGTGCGGAAACAGAGGAAGATGTATGCAACCTATAGGGGTGTGGGGGGGTCGCCAACCTGAAGGTGCGAAAAGCGTGGCGACAATGATGGTGATGAGAGCAATGCCGACAGAAATGCTGTCCATTTACAGCAAGGAAGGTCGATGTGCAGAGGTCCAAGGATCCAGTGGAGGTGAGAGCTGCCTCATCAGTTCAAGTTGGAACTGCAAAGTTGGTGGAATCATTCTCCACCCAGGTCGACGGTGATGGCAGCAAAGGCGTCCCAATCCTAGCATAAGGTGTGAGCCGTCCTACTGAAAGTGGGTAATATACCAAACAATAATAGCAAAAGGCACTAAAGTTAGACATAGCACTTCCTTCCAGCACATTCCAAATTGGCAGCCACATCTAGAAATCTAACTGTTGCCTACAGGACGCGTCATGCTTCACAGTTGAATGCACTGTGGTAATCCATGAAAGCGAGAACCACATGCGCATGAAACAACTCCATGTTTCTCCCTATATTGCAAAGTATCAAACAGTGGAAATTGCGAAATCGTGACTTGACATGTCGATCGAAGAAGATTTAGAATTTTCGTGCATATGAATTTTAAAAGCTGAAACGCGACGAGGCATTTTCGATTCTCTCCACTTCGTCCACCACATAGGCAAACTGTACATGAGCGCAATGAAGTAAATCATGCAGACGAATATACCTTGCAAAATCCATCCTTTTATCAAGTAGTTACACAACTGATAGATAAAAAGAAGATAATGCTAAAATTAGGCAGTCGCCTTTCATCTAAGACGATTGCAAGATTTCCTATTGGGGTGGGGACAAAGTAGATTATGTGTTCGGGAACCGCGAAATAATGTGCTGCTCATATGGCAATAGGCTGAATGTCTCGAAACAAACCCACAAGCCAGAAAAGAAGTCGATCGCATGTTGACTTTCCGTTAAGGCGAGAAGACATTATATCCCAACACTCAACTCCACATACTCACCTGATAGCGATGCGATAATTCAACAACGCGATTCATCTCAAGTCAGTGGAGACTTGCGACCCTGATTTTAGCCCGTTGGCACCACCGTAGTTGCATGAATCGTCGACTTCTTAGTGAAAGCCATGGTTCGGCGTGCTTCATTGAATTCGCACTTCCAACTCTCTCTGTCTGCCGCGACGAAGACTTCTATTTGCACTGCTTCGCAATAGGCCCTGTAGCTCCGTCGGCGTCCACTATGGTGACCGTCTTCGATGTGGCCCGCCTGTAGGGCTCCAGTGAGCCTCACATTAGCCGGGGCGATGGGATACCTTCACAATATCATTACCAACTGCGCATGTACGACAGTGCATTCTAGTATTTGCGCCATCTTCTACCCCGATCTAAATAAAAAGCAATATGCTATCGCTCACCGCTTCTGTTGTCGACCATTGCAGCACCAGCACTCAGTGTTATCGCGAGTAATGATCAGGCTTCAAAGGGAAGTCTGTAGAATTGTCATGTCATGACATGGCTGACACGTCCATTGTTCGTGTTCATTTCGCTTTATCCAACCACATAATGTGGAAAAAAACGGGCAATTCCAAACGGAAACCCGGCTTGTCATTCCTTTGATTTGATCTAGTAGTGCAGATGCTGAAAGCGGAAGGAAAAATGTCAGTAGCGTCTTCTTTGAATCACTCCATGCTCCTATTTAATGAGCATCCCATCTTTTCGATCAACATACACACACAGAGAAGTCGTTGGTTAGTGTGCGACCATAAGTGGAGCCGATTTGGGGTGTTCTCGACCACCAGGAAGATGCGGCAGCTAGTTCACCAACTCGTTTATTCTAATGATCTAAATGGCGAGCCAGCCTTCCACCTGTCAAAGGCAATATATGCAAGTAAAAATCTCACATTTTTATTTTAGAGCCGCGAATGCTAGTTCACCAGCCCATTTATACTTGTAGACGAGCATAGCTTTAGTGCACAGGGTCCGTGCAATGTTGGTGGAAGAGAGAGAGAGCTAGGGAAGTGGGGCGGTGGCTGGGGCGCCAAAACTTTTTCTTTCAGTTCACAAATGTAAAGATTAAACCTTGAATTACTGCAAGGGATTCCGATCTAAAATTATTGCAGGTTAAAATTAAGGTTTCTTTCATCACCATTTCCTTCACTCACAATCAAGGTCAATTAAGTTTCCATTTGATGGCTAGCATCTTTCCTTGACGCTAACATTACACTAATGGGACATACATTTGGGAAGCAAAGTTATTGAGGGCTAGGTTTTTCATGGCTCCTAGATACAAAGCATTTTTATAAAAAAAATTAACACAGGGCTTCCCTAAATGTGGCATTTGTGCAAAACACTCTTATTTGAATTTCGAAAACTTCAGGTAAGAATGAGTTCCAATCCTTGAGTTGTTGCGATGCCTTTAGTACCCCAACGGGTGCATTCTACATGTCCTTTTTTTCGAGAGATCGCTATTGCCCTCCTTCTCCGAAGTCTTCACAATTACATGGTGGCAGTTGCATTATACAAGTTTTTTGTATTATTCACGATGAAAGTATATGTCGCGTTTAGCGGGCACAGAAAGAGCTTTGGTATCCTTCACAAGGGCATTCAAGCTTCAGCAGTCGTAATTTCAACAAACACGAACGGGGTTAGTCAAGATTTTGCGGCGAAGGAGACGTCGACGTGCAGTTTACGTTATCGCTTGACTAAGTGTCAATTTGTTGGTTTGATTGTTAAGATCATCGCCTAGCTTCACCGCGATTGAGGTAGTTTCTCTACATTTCATTCTGTTTCCACAGGTATAGGGAAGTCTTTCAGATTGTTGGAGTGTGATACAGTAATTTGCATCAGAATCTGCGTGAATGCATTTAGTGAAAGATAATTCTCACCGAATAAGCGTTACCCTTCTTATTATTCTTCTAGGTCGTAGTATATTCTGGCAAATGCACTTTTGATTAGGTAGTGTACCTCCACTCTACGTCTTCTTATTGTCTTGCAG